CCCCAAAACCCCAAAACCCCAAAACCCCATCAATATCAATTGGCTTTAATTTTGATGTGTTAAGGAAATTTAGATTTGATTTAATTAAAAAATTTAAGGAAATCATCCATATAATTATTGTTACTTCTCAGTAATTTCTCCCAAAAATGGATAAATATCACCAGCTTCTCTATGGCCAAAGTAGAGCATTTTGTATATTTCACCCATTTCAGATGGATGGCATAGTCTATAATAACTATCCTCTAGTAACTTCTTAGACGATTCGGTCTTAGCTTACTTTTACAAAATCTATTTTGAGTTCATACAATTATTATATTACCTCTTTTCTCATGTTAATACCCATTGATTCTAAGAATAGACCTTGAGGCATTGGCCCATTTACATTCACTAAAAAATTAATTAATATGAAATTAGGTTACTGTTTTTATTTGCCTATGCTATCTACTTTATTTGTGCAAAATTTACATAGGAGGTCAAATCTATCTTGCCAATATTTTCAACAATTTCATCAAAATCTTTAATAACTTTGTGATCTTTAATTCCCTATAAGTATATTATTATTTTGATAGTCCTTTACCCTGAATGAATTAGTAAAAGCATGATCTTCTCCATAATCAATAACCAAAGCAGATCCACGAGATAATTCTACTAACTCAATAATTTCTTTAGTTAAGGTAATCGAATCAGGGCACATTTCAATTTAATCACCTGCCTTGATTTCTTTCTCAGCTTCTTTAGTTATAAACTTTTCAGGATTTAGGGTAGATTCCACATTCTATCTCTCGAACTCTGTAATCGGGCTAGGTTCTACTCCGAATGTTAGTTTATTAAGCTGCTAGTTGAATGATATAACCCTCTCTCTCCATTTTCTTTCCTCTGTATATTAAAACTGATATATTGGCAGTGCATCATAAAGCTCATGAGCAAGGATGAAACACGGGTTTAGCATTTATTCTTCCTGGATCTTCAAACTAGTTTTTCTTTAGGATTACTCTTCATGAGGATATAATTTCTACATCCATTCTTATACTTCCTTGATTCTACTAATTTATTTTTCTAAATACATTCTATGATAGTTTTTAAGGGTTGGATACCAAGCTATACTAAAGTTCTAGTCCTTATTAAAAAATCTCTCAATCGGCATTTCACTTTCCTTTGAAATCTTATGCAGTTCAAGATCATAGGTCAAGAACATCTTTTACTAATCTTTAAGTTACTTTAACAATAATTCTTGCTGCTTATTAATGAGATTGCTACTTGCTTCTATCATATTAATTTGAACATTCTTCAAGTTTCCAGTAAATTAAGACATAGTCTATAAATTAATAATGAAAACTGCGTAAAATCTTACCCTGATAATGTCGCTCATCATGATCCCACTACCTGGACCTATCTCAATTATATTGATAGTTTATAGCTCTTTTTACTGCATTATGTCAACACTCTAAATTTCTTATGAGTCAGGTCCTTCTTAATAATTCTTAATGGCAGTCATCAACCAAAGGCCGATCATTTCACCGAACATCTATGAAATCTCTGGGGAAGTTGTAAAATCACCACCCTTATTAAAAATCTTATCTTTAGTAGAATAGTACCCATGTTCTGGGTGCAATAAACCAAGAGTCATAAACCTTGACAAACTCATTGGAACTCCCTTTGTTCTTATTTCATCAATAATAACCTTTTTCAACTAATTCTCTATCATTAATCCACTTTGCCTAACTCCTTGCCCTTCTGAACTCTATACACGAATCTATTGATAAAAATATACAGTTTTAATCTAAGACCTAACTCCTTTTTGTGGGTATTTAGAAAAGTACCTTTTGCTGATAAAATTTTTAAGCTACATTTTATTAAATTGAGAAAATTAATAATCGAAAGAATTATTATATTAATTGAGATAATTTTGTAAAAATAAAAAGAGAGAGAATAATCTCAATATGAATGATAATCTCTAGTCTTTCACTTCGAATGATGAATCATCTCAAATCTCATCTAGCAACATAACTAATTCAATGGCAGATGAGCATAGCTAAAATTCTAGTGTAATTTTACCTAGTAAAAGAATTATCAATCTTCCTTCGACTCTGATGACACTTTAATAAATTGAAAATTCTGCGACCAACGACTAATTAAACAAATAAGCATTTTCTGCAAAATTCGCATAAAATAAAGATATTAGGTTGGAGACTTTAGAAAGTCAGAGGAATGATAAGGTATCAGTTCTTAAGATGAAAAAAGGAAATGAAATCAAGTTGAGGAGCCCATATAACAATTTTTACTCAAATGGTATTGAGTCACAATATGCTAGTAACAAGGATGGCATCAATGCACTAGCTAGTCATGTTGGTAGTGCATAGTAGAAAAACTTCACATTTAATGATACAGGATCCTCAAGAGGAGGCTTTGATCCCACTCATAGATCAACTATTTTGGACATAGTGGGACCTTAAAGTAGAATAACTCCAACAAATGCAAATTAACTTGACCAAAAATTGACAGAGCTAAACAATACCCCTTCTATAACGCCAAAATAATCCCCATTCTTAAAAGTCTTAGATCCAGAAGAAACAAAATATAATGACAGAGATCAGGCAGTTAATGTTTAGAATACAATAAAGTAAGCAAATTAGAATAGACTAAGCTCAGATTTATTAAATAATCAATAAAATAAGCTTAAGAAATTTCAACTTTAAAGGCCAATTTAAAATTCTGAAAGCCAACTAAGAGAAAACGTTTTTCAGTAATTGAGTCATAATATTTAAAGAGATTAAAATATCATCAAATCAAAAAATAATGTTAGAGATACTATGTCTTAAAGTCTTCAGTAGCTAAACAGGTCTAGAGAGAAAATAAAACAGTCATAAAATTCAGACAGTATCAGAAATTAGATCCTATTAGCTCATCAGCAGCAAGTACTGTAGTCAGTTTCTCAAAGCCAAAAGCACATTTCAAATGATTTATCTCAAAGCCAATAAAGCTAATCATAATATTTCAATCTGAGTAAACCTTTGATAACCAGCTCATCCTAGTAATTCAATCATAATCTTCAGAGAACTCCTACTTAGTTAGTGTAAAGATACTCTGGAGCAATGATGAACAATAATCAGTGATAGATGATGCTAGAAAATTCTTATTACAAAAATGAACAGATATTTCTTGGCAACGATAGAAGCAAATCTGATAATACTCGACCATTAAGATAAAGTGAGTAAATGATATCTAGTTGTGGAGGAGACTAAATCTTATAGAGCGTTATTTAAAACACTAAAGTTAGCTCTTTTAAAAATCAGATAAAATCAAGTCTAAACTCTAATAATGACAACTAGTATTTTGATGCTAATTAGACACCTTACTTCATTAATACGAGAGATTTTAAAAAGAAAAAACAAGTTTTAAGCACATAATAAAATTTATAATCATCTCAAATTCCTATTAATAGTAGATCAATTGCGGTAGATGATTATAACCCAGACTATCCAATGTTTAGTAAATAGAATAATCTAATTGCGTAAAAGAATGCCAACCTGCTTAAATCACATTAGAAAGTATCTCGAAATCAGAAAATGTCAAACTAATAGCTTTTTTAATCCCCTGGGTCATAATAAGTATTTTCAAGTCATAAAAAATATGGGAGAATACCCATTTTACCCATAGTTAATACACAGGCTTCTTCAAACACTTATCTTTAAACTCAATCTAACCAATAAATAATGACATAAAATTAATCGATAATGTCAATAAGAAGTGACATTGAGAAAATTCGGAGAGATATATTTACAAGAAGATAAACTTAGCTTGAAAGAGGAGAAATTCTCAAATAACTTAATAGTAATTCTTAAGAAAATCTTAATCTAAAATCATTAAGTAAGCGAAAACTTATGCTAAATGATAACTCCTCGAGCGAATATGATTCCTAAACTTCTAGTCATTCTTAGTTGGAAAGCATCTAATCGGCTGAAAGTGAAAGTTTTCAAAGTAGTTCCGATCCCAATTAATCACAATTAGCATAAAAGAAGAAACTTTAACTAAGATTGAATGAACCGAATCCCTATTAGCAAGTGTAATTTCAGTCTTAGTTACTAGCAAGTCTCCCTTAAACTGTTCAAAATATTAAGCATAAAGCTTAAAAGTATCAACCAAAAAAGAGAATAAAAATCTATCAAACTTAGCATTAAGAACTCGATAATGGTGTCATAATGATAACTGCTGATAATGAAGAGTTTGACAACAAGGATCCTTATTTTAACATTCAATAGAATCCATAATTTCTACCATCTAAAGGAAAGCAAGCCAATTAAGCAAGTCGCTATTTCAATCAATGTATGATATATTTATATATTTTTATTCTAGATATGCAAACAGAGTCAAGTTATTTTCCAACTCAAGGAGCTGAGAGTGTATAAACTTCGTTATAAAATGAGGAGGAAAAATCTTAACAGTTTATAAAGTAACAAAGGCATATTGATGAGTATCAGATTGAGGACTAAGAGAATATGGAGCCTTAATCTTATCCACGACCCAGTCCGAAGCACAATAAATCTGGCAAGAAAATAAGAAAGATTAAAATAAGAAGAGCTAATAGAGGGTAATTCAATAATAATAAGATAGGCTAGATTGAGATTAACAGCATCTCATCTTTCGCCAACGGCTATTAATCAGCTAAAAATTCTAGTAGCATTGTATCATTTAGAACTGACCAACTAATAAAAAAGGTAAGAGTAATCTTTAACATCATAAATGTAGTCTCAAACACCATTGTATTGCTGTAGAGGCTTCAAGTAGTGTGCAATATTTTGACTATATATTAAATTTTAATTAAGTCTGTAAATGTCCTCTCATTTGAAGAAATTGAGTTACAATGGTATAGGGGTTTTGGGGTTTTGGGGTTTTGGGG